CTAACCGTATAGCCACTGCCGCAGCTGTTGCTAGCACTTATTGCCGTAGATCCTTAGAGAAGTTAGCTGGTGTCAGGTAGACAACCCGAAAAGCTTCATTGAAATAAAGTTGGTGATTCCTACCGATTAGGTGTGCAAGAATGGACTTTGGGATCGATCTACTTTCAGTTTTACTCATTCAGGCCGATAGGTCTTCACACGCACTCTCTTTCATGTGCCTTGTTGTCCAGTGGGGGATGAATATTCATCTTCCAAACGTAGGAGAGAAGAGCCCGTGAATAATACGCCTAGGTTCGCCACGCGGAAGCGCTTGTGGTCGCTGTCTTTACACATCGTCTTAGCACTTAGCCTGTTGCATTGCCTACGGAGGGGAGCCTTTTGGACACGTTAAATTAGCAGGCTTTTTGGTGCTTTCGCCAATATTCCCAAAATATGAACCTTTCTGGGTTTCCGTTTGCAAGAGGTATGTTCTACAGCTGCTGGAGTTCTGTTTTGACAGTTTTAGGAGAGCAGACTTGTCACACTGTAGCTGCGATTTCATTAAAGATCTTTCGTTTTCTATTTTGGGGGACAAAACTGTGAAATTTGATGTATTGCCCCATCAAGTTTATCCGTTGGAACACCCAAAGCTCGATAGATCTACCCTCTTGTCTTCGTAGGAGGACATCAAGAATCGCAATTTCCGTTTCTACCTCATTCTCTGCAGACAATTTGAGCGATGGATGCGTGCTGTTAAACTTCCCAACCAGGAGGCCTGTGTCAGTATTATGGTCCGTCAGACCAAGAATGTCATCCACGTATGGACCGTCAAGTGCGAAGTCATTGGTGGAATCGCCTAGACTCTTTTTCTCGATCTTTCCCATAACGATATTTGAAAAAAAACGGGACAAGTGGTGAGCCCATCGCCTCACCGTCTATTTGACTGCAGAACTGGTTATTGCAGAGAAATTACACGCTCTGTTTCACCACGTAGGTAGCTCTTTAAGGATTTCCATCGGCATACCTACAAGATAGGGCTCAAATTTAGAGGTGTAACACTCATGAGGCGCGCCTAGTCCAGGGGTTTATGTTGCACGCCATAGCATTCTAGGATACAGCCAGGTAATGAGCCATAAAAACCATCACAATGACCTGTTCTATAGGAGGCAAATGCGGTAGAAAAAAGGCCGACGTGTTCGGGGTTGATGGGTCGGTAATCTAATAAATTTGCTTGCTTGTTTGAAGAGTATGCAGCCGCTGAAGTCAGGCATACACACAGCGAAAAGTGCTGACCTTTAAACCAAAAGGCGCACGTTTGAGTAAATGTGA